TGACGTCGTCTTTTGCAAAACATACAATTGACGAGAGAATGAGCAATATAGAAAACTTCTCGAAAGTCCTTAAATTAGACTTCGGAACTCCTTAGAGAAGAAGGAAGAAAGAGCTTTTTGATACGCAGATTAGGTGGCCGAGTGGTTGAGGCGATACTGCTAATCCATTGGGGTTTTCCTGCGTGAGTCCGAATCTCATTCTGGTCGAGACGTTTGAATATTATAGTCCCTACATTCTACTAATGTCAATACCCGTCAAGCACGCGTGATTTTTTCTAAAAATTAAGAGTGTGATTAGGTAGCCGAAGTTGAAACTATAGTCTGTCAAACCAATGTGGTTTCTTGATGTGAGTTCGAATCAACTCTCCGTAGTTGTTTCCTAAGGGTAAGGTGGAAATTGTTGTGGAAAAGTAGAGAAGAAATCGTGATTGATGTAATTCAAGAAATCGTAGTTTGTAATTCCGTTCTCGACCCTCTCAACCTTACTTTACGACCAACTCCGATAACTGCATTTCATATAAGCAACTTTTTCAAAATCCTTCTATAGGGCTTGTAGAGCGTAAATCGTAGGGATTCGATGTACATTCCAGTTGGTTTTTTGACGAATAGATGACTAACAGCCTCCAAACTTGAGGAGAACATGCGCAACAAAGAGCTAGAAGATTACATTTAATTCTTTGAGTATTTATGAGAATAAAAAAGTGGATGTTCCTCTTTCTGTTTAATATTTTCGGCGGAGACCTATGGAAGACCTTAGGTCTCCGATTGGTAAACCATTAGATTTTTCCTCATAGTTTTGTTTTTTTTTCTAAAAAATCAACTTTTTATGTGCACCCTTGGCTAATAGCGCAAAACTAAACCATGCATTTCCTTTCTTTCTTGCTGAGTCTCAAATCGTTTTACCTTTGATCCAGTGTCCGAGCAAACTTCGACTCCAGGTTTTCCTCCTTTTCTAGACCTTCGGTCTGCTCACGAAAAGTAACTTTAATTACTGTGAAATTATTAGAAAACAAAGAGTACCCTATGTAAATTTACGGGAGCGAGTGGAAAAAGTGCGATGGTTTTCTCACCGCAGCGAATTATTGTCGGAATTTGGGGATGGCTTCGTTAGGGCTCGTTTTATTATTTGACGAGAACTCAGAATTCTTAGTTTTGCTTGGACATAGCCTTTAAAGTAAGTAAAGGCGTTCCAAGCAAGGAGTGCTGCAGTTCTTTTCCTATTTCACGCGTTTTTGTAGGTTACAAAGGGAACTTTTAATTTCCTGGATTTTCAAACGGGTTCCCGGGTCCGTCGGGGTTTTGCGCCAGGGCCTGGTTCGATCTCAACCTATCGAAGGGCTTTTAAAATTCATTCGATTGGCGGGAAATGGAAAACCCAAGAATCTTCTCGAACTTCCCCATTAGTAAACTTTGGAAACAGGTTTAGGAGGAACGGTTTTGTTTGATTGTCGATCAGGTGGCCGAGTGGTTAAGGCGATGGACTGCTAATCCATTGGGGTTTCCCCGCGTGAGTTCGAATCTCATCCTGATCGCAACTTTTGCAAATTTCTAACAAGTATAGACAAGTTGAATGTTGATCATCAGTTGTGTTGACAAAGGCTCTTTTCAAATGAGAGCCACTTTGAAGGAATTTAGGTTTAGTAAAATTTGTTAAAATACCAGAATCGTTTGCTGCTTTAGATTATATTCTTGTTATTTATTCAACTT